TCTGCTTCAGCTGATTGCCGTATCGCCCATTGAAATAGACCTGTTAAGGTAATGCAATAGCTTATACTAAGTGCTGCTGTCGACGGATCGATTTGATGACGCAACGCCACTGCAAGAATTGAAGTAACCAATGTGAGCAACGATGCCGTAAGATCAAGACGTAAGCCGAACCAATGCGTAGTGGCAGAAAGAATGAAGTAAGCTCGTGAATTTACATCAATTCTTTCGGTGAACATTTTCAAAAAATCACCTTGAACATCAAACGCACGAATACTAGTAAGTCCGTCTAATGACGTTGAAAACAATGTATAAATAGGACTACGTGTTACACTTTCAAGCCGCTTGAGTTGACGACTCGAACGCATGTAAAATAGACGAAGCCACAAAATTGTCGGAACCAAAGGAATAAGAATGAGAAGCACCCATGGATTCGTTATTCCAATAATTACAATAGAACCAAGAGTCATTAATAGATATTGCATAGTATCAATTAAAGCAAGAGGTAATGCTTCATCGATTACTTGTTGATCTTTACTTGCCCGATTCAATATTCGTCCACTTGGATTATTTTCAAAAAAACGTAACGATGTGTACAAAATACCCTTGAGCATTCGATTATGAAAATAGGTCGAACCACACAACATAATATAGATGACGTATCCGACACGTATTAATGCAACGATCAATATAGAAAATATAACTCCAAGATAAACATAAATATAAAATGATGATCGTTGTTCGCTTTCATCTTTGCTAGACCACACAGCGAGCCACGTATTTGCATAGTCATACAAAGCTTCATTACCGAACATTAAAATAATCATAAGTAAAAAGCCAAACCAACGTAATGGTGGTGAAGTAAATAGTTTTAACCAAACATTCCAATTGATGGAACCTTCAATTGATGTCTCACTTTTTACAATCGAGTTAATATCTGTTATACTAGTGTTCAGTACAAAATCTGTTTCCTTGTCATTAGATGAATCTGTTTCCTTGTCATTAGATGAATCTGTTTCCGATGTTTCATTCAATTGGTCAATTGCAGGTTGTTGTTCAATATGTAATTCATCTATATGACCGTTGGTCATAAGAAGCATTTGATCAGATTCAACTAAAAAATGTGTCTGATGCGTCACCAATATTCGAGTCTTTCCATGAAGGAAACTTTGTGGGCCGATAGATTGATCAAAAATGCTTTTTGCTACCTTGGGATCAACAGCAGCAAGCGGATCATCAAGTAAATATAAGTCAGCATCAGCGTAAAGTGCACGAGCAAGCGATATTCGAGCCTTTTGTCCTCCACTCAAATTAACACCTTTGTCACCAATCATCAATAAATCACCGACCTCACCAAAATTTTGTAGATCAATATCAAGACAACATGCCTTTATTACGTTCTTATAACGTTCTTCATCCATTGGTTTGCCAAGAAGAATATTGCCTCGAATAGTATCAGCAAATATCCAGGCCGATTGTGGAGCATAAGAAATCGAATTAGTTTGCAGTTGTAGCTTTCCACTGACAAGATTGATTTCACCGAGAATAGCAGCTAGTAAAGTTGACTTGCCAGAACCAATGGCACCTTTCACTCCAACCAAATTACCCTTCTTGATTTTGAGGCTGAGTGAAAATAAAGACGGACTATCTTTCCAAGAAAATGATGCATCTTCCATTATGATTGCATGATCTTCATTTTCGTTTTTCACTTTCTCACGTTTGTTCAACAACATATCGAGTTGCATAAATTGATCGATTCGTCTTGCGGATATGCGAGCTTCACTGAATTTTTCAATGAAGTATGGCATCGTGATTGTTAATGGAAGTCGGACCGTAGTGAAGAATGCTAATGTTGAGAAAATATTTTCTGGCAATAAAGTGTGTCCCATGAGCCAACTACCTCCGAATGTAGCAAGACAAACCAAAGGTATTGTTACGAAGGATATAGCAACGTTAAGAGCTCTCAAACTGCTCGCTTTACGAATGTTTGAAAGCTCAAGTCGACGTGTTTCACGTACTCGTCGCTCCATAGCTTTTTCCCAATTGTACATTTTAATAATTTGACATCCGTTAACAAGTTCATTGACCGTTTGCACACGCTTATCCGTACATGCCATTGTAGCTTTTCTGTATTTACTAAATTGTCTACTGAAAATGAACTGTATTGGTATTACTGAAATCAGCACTGCATAACCGAATAAAGTCGGTAGGCCGATGTTCCACCACAAGAGACCAAATATTACAAAAACTTCCAGAGGTACCATCACTAAAGCATGAACAAAAATGCTTAATTCTGCAAATTTATTGGCATCATTTGATACTAAATTAATCGTCTGAGCAGCAGTAGTCTTGTGAAGAGCTGCAGTATTAATAGTTAACAAGTGCTGATAAATAATAGTTGATAATGCATTGCGAACTCGCATTCCTGCGCGTGTATTTCGAAAGATAATCTGTTGTTGACAGGTTGCTTGTAGAACTACAGCAATACAAAGACCAATAGCATATAGATAACCAGAATAAGCAGGTAATCCTGATTGATCTTTAATGTAAAGAGTCAGTTCACGAATAAACAATGGCTGTGATATACGGGCTATTGTGAATGGAAAAACGAGCCATATACTCGTTAGAAAGTCTTTATAAAATATGCCCCTGAACACATGCCATGTACCTGGCCATTTAGAATTATACTGATTTACTCTGTTCAATACGACTGAACATTTATCGTTGATAGAAAGATCATTAAGATCGTTTTCAATAAGATTACGTTTATTAGCCAATGAGAGTATGGGTGCCACCCACAAAAATAATGGTATATGTATCCATCTTGTCCAATATGATTCAGCCCAATCCAGTCGACATGGTGCTCGTTGTTGACCTAGAAAATATACAATGAATTTCAAGAAAATCTACTCAATGAATTACGATCGATTTCCGCTGATCATACTTACTTTCAGTCAATGGAGATACTTTGGACGCAGAAAAAAAATTGGATCCACCATTTGTTTGCTTCTTTGACATTTGTTGCTTTTATTCACATAATCGCTGGATGGTAGTCAGTTATAAAGAGTATGCGCAAAACACAGTTTATGATTTCTACTTTTATTGTATCCGAAATTTATTGCAGGCAATTATTACTCTCTTCGTCCTTTTATCTCATTTTAAATTAACCTTGGTCGATTAAATTTGAGAGTAAGAGTGAGAGCTGAGAAAAACTATTGCTATAGCGATTTCATCCCTGATAAGGGAATAATTATATGAGTTCTTTCGAAAAAAGTTGTACGTAGCAATGAAAAAAGCCATCATTATCATTATCAAGAATGAACCAAAATCAAAACACTTGGTATTTGAGATATTAGATGTGCTGTTTCACAATTAAACTGTATACTTAATCCTAGTACTACAAGCCAGGGTAATTTTTGACCCGTACACAAAAACTTGAAAATACACTAGAAATATTTTGTTATTTCCTGGTTTTTGGAAGCAACACCCTCTCCCTCACTCTACTGACTTGATCCACCAACTAAGACGAAAGGTTGCGGACTATATTATCGAAAAAATAATCTATAGTGCGCAATAAATATATTTCTTTCATAGCTAAAGCTGAGAAATTTTTGAATATTCTATCAAACAAAAAGCATTAATTGAAATTCTTTCAATATGTTTATAGTAGGATTGTATTGAATGCATGTATGGGTTTCCTATAAGACGAAATATAAGAATGATTTAGATGTGTTTTCATATTCTTATTACAGAAACAGAATTTAAGATGAATTCTGATGCAAAAGCAAGCTTCTTGATAGATTTCTGATATTTTGATTTAATTACGAGAATAAGTACATGTAATGAACGGCAATGCTGCTAGTAAATCAGAATTCCGACACAATTCTGTTAGAATAAACAGAATTCATAATAGAATTATTATTGTTTTACTACTGTATTATAAGAATTATGTTCAGTTAGACAGGATGTATATATAGAGAATAATAAATGTGTTTAGTACACAGAACTCTTAAATTATGCTTGGGTGTGGGTGTGGATCTTTGCCTCATCCACACCCACACTCACCACAGCCACAGTCACACACCCACCCACCCACAGCCACACATCCACACCACACCCACACACCCATACCCACACCCACATCCTCTATTTTCAAAGTCATTTATGTATTGTATGAGACAATCGAAAACAAAAATCTATAAGATGTTTTTATTCTGGTGTCAGAAACCTACTGTTCGATTTAGATAGTTTGAAGATGAAGCACGTATTCATGCAATAAAATGTGAATATTTAAAAAGAAAAACAGTAATGTCTGCCTGCATTAGAAAAATGTTGTCTGTATGTATTGACAACAAAGTATGTAGAGTGGGAAAAGTTTTAATTTAATCTTATCACTCTCAAAAGGTACGACAAGAAAAAAGATATTGTAATAATTATTCTCGATCAACAGAATTAGTTGAAAAGACCTCCCTTTTTCTTGAACATTCTACTTGTGTGTTCTAGTAAAAAACAAGTTCTTACATCAAGATTGCATTCGGCAATATAGTGTTGAACCATGTAAAGGTCGTATTTCATGTGTGCCACGTAAATTTCGTGTTTTAATTTTGTCAGGTGAATCTGATGCACTATTGACTAATACATCCTTGGGAGGGAGTAATTTAATCAGCAAATTTTGAATGTGTTATGTGAACAGCATCTGATTTCTCTGGCAGCAAACAGTCTGTGTTGGGTTGATTCTCTTCCAAATCAAGGTCAATGTCCGAGGAGTCGCTGCTATCATCATGATGTGCATGAAATTTTGGTTCGTCTGATTTGACTTGCTCATCATCAGTTGTAATCACAATCGAAACTGCACAATCAGGTGACATAAGTCTTGGCGAATCAGTATCAGACGAATCGGTCATATTCATAGCGTATTGATAGATTAAATTGAAACTTTGTTGTTGTTTTTTTTTTTTGATAGAAAAAGTCAAAGTCAAGTCGAAAAAAAAAGACCCTCTATATAGGTTCCGACAAACGAAAGTTGCATTTTATCGCCGAATATACAATTGATAAGTTTGGAATCTCAACTAATACATCTGTAATAAGTCAACATATAATCATATCGTTACTAACATATTTTAACAAGTGCATAAGATTGGGGACATTCTTATATATTATTTCTTGCGCTGTATTTCATGAAAAGAATAAGATAACGAAAATGATATATCAATAAAATCATACTTCCTCTAAAATGCGTTTCGAATATACAGGTGTAGCCATTTCTCTAATGACACAAGTAGTCGTTTTGCTATTTTTGTACGAGTACATGAATCATTTCTTGCTTAGAATCGTGATAAAATTAAGTTTATAGTTTTTATATGTGCTGTGCATAGGTCGGTTGAAAAGTCAATGGCTGTCGCATGTACATTGTACTCGACTATTGATGATAATCAGCTCGTTTTTCGTATGACTTGATAGTATTTGTTAAGAGCTTCAAAATAATATTTAAAAAAAATGAGAAAACAACATTGATTAATCAGACAAGTCCCAAGAACACTCAATCGCCGTTCTCAATTGAATGAACTTATGTGTATTTCAGATATCTTTTTCTTTTTCATTGAAAAATGCACTTCTGCTCCTCTCCACTTCTCACAGGGTTATGTTACAAACTGACTTTCATAAAAGCTCTGTTTTTATTGCTTATTCATTAGCTATCTCAGGAAGAAGTGAAACACTTTTCTTGCCGTTTTTACGTCTAGTCAGCGTTTCCAAGCGTTATTCACATTAAATAAACTCTGAAACGGTTATATAAGTCATTTTCTTCTTCGTAAAAGATAGTGAGAAATGTTTATGATCATCTTTTCCAACAAAAACAGCTGTAAATGCTTAAAGTAGATTAATTTTTTTTTTTGAGACTGGGTCCCATAATTATTTATATTCTCGTGAATTTGTATTTTTTATTGTTTCACAGTACGCGTGAAAGACATTTAGTCCGTTTGGAGGTTCCATTTATCTTTTGATCTGCTGAATTACCTCAAAAAAGTATTTGCTGCAGATTTAATTATGTGAAAAAGAGTTCCTTTGATTAAAGTAAGAATCCGCATAACATTGACATCACATGAATCAAAATTATGTGTTGGTGCGAACATTAGAATATCGAAAAAATACAGGTTGATTTTATTGATTTAAAGTCTCAATTTTCATATTGAAATCCTAATTTTTTGATTATGTTCAAAGCTCGAAACGTTCGATAAATCATAAGTTCCTAATATTCTCAAACATAAAATTGCTGCATTAGAGTTTTCATCACAAATTATCAACTCATCAGTATATGAGCTAATTGAAACTCGTTTTATGACAAGCAATACAACATTATTAATTATGAGCTACATAATCCAATTAAAAGCTCTAGCCAAGTTAAAAGAGAGTAATATTTTCAGTTAATATATATTCGACAAATGCATGTGGCATAAACAGAACAAATGTCATATGCTTAGTAATTGATTGTTAGTCTTAATTAAATTGGAGAGAT